AGAAGAGAAGAGAAGAGAAGAGAAGAGAAGAGAAGAGAAGAGAAGAGGAGATTAAGATGTCACTATAAGGCAGCAGAACTTAAACCAGGGTGGACAGAGGAAGAGAACAGCAATCTGGGGGATGCTATTTTTAGCTTCTATTTTCCCTTTATTACAAGTCAACCCAAACAGGGACAAAACTAAACAATCCCCTCCATGTCTTATTTAGGTGACCTCCAAAGCTAATACGAGACTGGAATGAAGCTCAACTTGTAACGAATGTCTTGGGCACTCATGGCGCCCTGCATTAGCACTTCTGGTTTTGAAATTTAGAGAACGTTTTTTTTTCCTTTTTGCCTGGTGTCTTCCAGCAGAAGTGTCAGAGCCTCCAGGGACAAAAGGAGAACAAAGACTCTCCCAGCCTTCAACATTATACAGTTTATCATTGTGTTTGGTTCCAAATATTCATGTGTATTTACAACAAGTCTGCCCCCATCCCTCATCCCTAAAAAGGAACTTATAGATAGCTTTGAACTCATTGATTGTCAGGGAACAAAGATGAGGGCCCAAGCATCTCCTGCCTTCCAGGAAATTCTGTCTTCTTCAATGTCAGCTTCCAATTTCTCTGCCTTCTCCTGCTCCTTCCTCAGCCTCCTGAGAGCATTCTGGAGATTCTCCTGTGAGAAAGGAATCATATCTGTCATGCTTGCCACCTGGACAGAGAACTAAAAAAGAAACCAGGTTGTTCCCAGTTTGTAGAAGTCATGAGGTTGATGCTGATAAAGAAGAACATCTAAAGAGAAGGCATTCTTTATCCCTAGGGGAATGGAGCCATCATCCACATACCAACGGGAGCCTGCATCTCTTTCCTCAGAGAAAGTACAGACCATGTAGCAAGTGCAATCCTTCCTCACCCTGATGACCTTCCAGTTGGCAGTATTCCCCAGCAGAGGCCATGCTGAGAGGCAAGCTGAAAGCATTCCCCATCATGCACACAGGGGAAAGAAATCCCGAAACCTTCTGCTCTTGATCAAGAGATTGTGTGTACTGCAAGCCAACCCATTACATAAACGGAAAGAAAAGACATTTCTAGGCATTAGGGACTGAATATGAGGTAAGGGCTCAATATTATGGTGGTAATGTGAATCAAGACGGTCGGGAAGCTGCCGGTCTGTAGTGGCGCACGCCTTTAATCCCAGCACTTGGGAGGCAGTGAGGTGGATCTGTGATTGAGGCCAGTGTGGTCTTCGGGGCTACACAGAGAAACCCTGTCTTGGAAAAGAACGGGAGGGAGGGAAGGAGGGAGGAAGGGAGGATACAATTTCTTATCAAGAACCACTTTCTGCCCTATCCTTCTCCCTTCATGACCTTACCTGACATTCCTTGACTGCTTCCTCCCGGAGGAAAGTGTGGTGACCACGATGCTCCTGAGAACGCTCACAAACCCAGCAAATGATCTTTCTATCTTCCTTACAGAAGAGAAGGAGTTTCTCTCCATGGTGGATACAGAGATCTCTTTTTTCTCCAACGTCCAGGTTCAACTTGCCTTCCCTGAGTCTCTCTACTACGTTTGCTAGATGTTGATTAACCTGTAGATTTTCAAATGAGAATCTAGTACCACACACGGGACAGTTGCTTCTCCCTCTGGGGTTGATCACTGCATTCTTCTTGTTCGTGGTGATGCAGGCTTGGCATGCATTGTGGCCACAGCCTAGGCTCACGGGTTCTTTCAAAAGTTCTTGGCAGACAGGGCAAATGGCCTCCTTCTCTCCATTCATCGGAACTGTTGAAGCCATTCTACTGCTTCCCTGCCTTTTCTTGCCCTAACTTCTGAGGCTCTTCTTTCTTACGGACTGCTGGATGGCTAGGCAGATTATAAAATGACGGTATAGCAATCTGAAAGGCAACTTAGAAGAGCACGGTCACTTCGTATCCTTCAAGGTGGGTGATAGGATGGCAAAAAAAAAAAAAAAAAAAAAAAAACAAACCACTTAATTTTCAGCTGTGAATAGATAGAATCTGAAACAAAGAACAAACCAAGTATAATTTGGTGAATGGAACAGAAATACTCCAGAGGAAGAATGTAGTGGTGGCACAGGAAAGAGCAGGGACTGGGGCAAAATGAAGAAAGAATGAGAAACTCAGAAAACACAGTTGACACAGGCCTTGGCTCAGCACTGTGCAGAAGTGCAGGCTACCAGCACAAGTCCTGGGATCTGCAAAGCACACTAGCATGGGCAAGGTCTCTTTTCTTTTTAGAATTTGGCCACAAAATACAGTGTTGGAGTCACCCTGATGCGAACTGGCAAGTTTGGGAGTTTCCCTGCTTCCGTTATTAAAAAACAAAAGCCAGCTGGGCAGTGGTGCCATACGCCTTTAATCCTAGCACTCAGAAGGCAGAGGCAGACCTCAGTGAGTTCAAGGCCGGCCTGGTCTACTTAGCAAGTTCCAAGACAGCCAAGGCTACAAAGAGAAAAACTGTCTTGAAAAACCAAAAATAAAATTAAACTAAAGTTTAAAATTCATATATTTCAAATCAAGGTCTCACTAAGAACAAGAACAAGCCAAAGGCAAAACGGCAGAAAGAAAAGAGCTGAAGCTGCTGCGGTGGAAGCTGAAGGCGTAAAAAGAACCAGTTAACCAGAGTCTTTGAAAGGGCGAACTGGCCGAAAACATCTTAGCCAAAGGAGCCAGAAGAATGAGAGAGGTGGATGCATATTATCTGTACACCTTGTGTAAATGCACACAATGTAGAAGAACAAAAGATATCATTCTTAAAAGTTAACGAAAGCTAAGGAACATTAGAAGATGATGCTCAACCTACTGCTGATTGGCCACAACGAAAAGAGAAGCTGGACAAGCAGTGAGCAGTGTGGAGGTGTGGCTCAGTAGCTAAGAGCTTTGTGGCTCCTTCAGAGGGTTCATTGAGTCCCCGTCCCCACAGAGCGGCTCAGACCTCTCCATACCTCATGTTCCACGGGATCACACGGCACCTCCGAAGGCACACACGGCACACACTCTCTCTTTCCCTCGTCCTCCCATCCTTCCTTTTTATTATTTTTGTAAATTTGTATTTTGTTGGTTTTGTTTTTTTTTCTAGACAGGGTGTGTGTGTGTGTGTGTGTGTGTGTGTGTGTGTGTGTGTAGTTTTGGCTGTCCTGGAACTTGCTTTGCAGACCAGATGGCCTGGAACTCCCAGAGATCCGCCTGCCTCTGTGCTGGAATTAAAGACATGCGCCACCACCACTCGGCTTAATTTGTAGTTTTGAGACAAGGTCTCAAGTAGTCCGGGCCAGGCCTCAAGTTGACAGGACAACCAAGCATGACCTGAAACTAACTTCTGATCTTCCTGCCTCCACCTTCCAAGTGCTGGAATTATAGACGTCTATCACACCCCATACTTTCTCCTGACTGTGTACTTGTTCTCTGTAATAAAACTCCCTCCAACTCCTCACAGTGCCTCTCTGGATTTTTTTCTCTAACTACAGCAAGAATCCAGAGACACTTGGTAGAGGTCTCTTCTGGGCTCACTCTTTACCTTCGAGACCTCCCCAGCCATGTTCTCACTGGAGTAACTCCCATACCCAGGTCCTAGTCCTTTCTCCGCAGCTCCTCTGGAATGCAACATCTTCCTCTCAGTTCAAAGGAAAACCGACCTGTGGTAAAGACTTCAAATTCCTCATTCTTTTTTATTTTGTTCATTTGTTTATTGAATTTTCTTTATTCTTCACTCTCTTAAGATTCTTCTGAAATTTCCTAACTCTGAATACTGAAGTTGAAAGCTTTAATCTTCTAGACCTGTGATTCTGAGGCAGAGGCAGGTGGATCTCTGTGAGTTCAAGGCCAGCCTCGTCTACAGGGCTAGCTCCAGGACAGCTAGGGCTGTTACACTGAGAAACCCTGTCTCTCAAGACCGAAACAAAAACAAACAAACAAATGAAAACTCCAAAAAACAAAAGAAAAAAGAAAACTGTCATTCTATAGTATTTAGTTACTTCTGGTATTGTCTAAAAGTTACTTATTTTTTTTATTGCTATTCCTAGGTAGAGTGTAAGCTTGTATATTTATTTCATAGTTAGTAAATACTGAGTGGCTGCTTATTATACTTATTTAATACCAGAAAGTGCTTTATTTGCATTGACATTTTCATAAAAAAAATAAACACAGAAATCCGGATTAACTTCTGTGTTTGGCCATGACTAAACTGTGTCAGGACCAGAGGCATCTCCAGCAGTCAGGTGCAGACTGAGAACAAGGCAGGTGACATGAACTCTGAAAAGTGAGGCTCTTAGACAGTGACAGGTGTTGAACCCAACCATCAAGGTACAAAATGTCCCTATGTTAGCCTAGCGGGGACTACACAAGATCAACAGACAGAGAAAACATCTTAGCAAGAGTGTCAACATCACCAGCCCGCCGCTCTCCTCAGCAATAGGTAGCTCTTGTTAACTAGCTCTGAGCAAGGGAACAACGAACTGACTTAACCTTCAGTTCGAAGATCCACACAGGAAGAATGGGTGACAGCCACAGGCAGGTGAGGATGCCAAGGTCACTTAAACAAGGATGGAAGAGGCACAGGTTTGCAGTCCTGGCTACATAAGAGGATCAAGCAGGATGAAATCGGAGCCCAGAAGGCCAAGGACAGCCTCAGCAATGCAGTAAGACAAGCCGCAAAAATAAATGAATGAATACATTTCTAAAACAATCAGTGCTAGGTAAAAACAAATAGTCATAAGATTGGAGCACCAAAGCTACAAAGGCTATAAAGTTACACAGGGTTCTCCAACTTGCTGTTCTCAAGTCGGTCAAGGGCTCAGGATGTTAGGAAGGTCACTGATAACCCCGTAGTGGGAGGAGGAGGGACGTAGTGGCTCTCCTTAGTCCAGGTCCCTGAAACTACAGCAGCTAGTAGCGAGAGGGAAGGGCCAGGAGAAGGATCAAGGAAGAAAGGGGAAAGGGAGGGGAAGGGCCCTTGAGATTCCAGACCTGTTTGCAAGGTAGAACACCACAGCTGCAGAGCAGGAGCAAATGGGAGGGGCGTGCCCCGGAGAAAGAAGGGTTCCTTCAGAAACGAGGCCCTCCTATTCAACTTTCAAGTCGATTCCGCCCCAAACTCCTTTTCTCCCTTCAGATCACAATGGTTTCAGCGAGCTAAACGATCTTTCTCAAGCTTCACTGAGTTCTCTCCTCCCCGGGTCTCCCTCCCTCAGCCCTGCACAAACTTTCGCACACACCTTTGGACCCTCACCTCTGAGCCCTCCAGGTTGAAGCTGTGAGGAAAAGCCAGGGGCAGGCTTTGCTCAGCACCCGGGTTCAGCCCACCAGCAGCCCCTCCCTCTCCCGAGGCCAAGAGAAATGAAACTGAAACTCCGGACCATCAGGATAGAGGAAGAAACTTCTGGGTCCAAGGTCTGGCAAAACTCTAGGCCGCCGATAGAGGGCAATGCAGCAACCTTGGTGATCGGGGAGAACGGAAGGCTTGATCCAGGGTTGAAATTTTCAGTGGCTTTTTGGTGACTGTAGCCAAGGGTGTCGCTGACATCAGGTAGGCAGAGCCCATGATCAGGGAAGATTCCACACCGTAAGACGGCAGCCACAAACTTGGGAGAGGCAGGAGAAGCTAAAATCAAACAAATGGCCCGCCGAGCTTTACAGTTTCTTACAGCCTTTTTCAGGCCCCACGGCCAGCAGCATTTCTGCTCAGTCGCTCTCTCTGAGGGTGGTCTTGGAGTTCCTTAGTCATTAAAGGAAGTTCAGGGAGGCAGGCTCACGGGAACAGAAATCACCGGAGACAGAGTTTGAAGTCATGAAAATGCACAGGTGTTCCTGAATAACACTAGCCCCTGGGTTGTGGAAATCTGCTGTGTGCCGTTTGTCTGTGACAATCTCAGGTACCCCCACCCACACACACACACATGCACCCCGAAGGCATAGTGTTTTTTGTTTTTGCTTTTGTCTTCCCGACTGGGTTTCTTTGTAGAACAGCCCTAGCTGGCCTAGACCAGGCTGATCTCAAACTCACAGAGACCATGCACCACTAACACCTCTTACACTGGGCTACATAATGGTTTTTAACAAACAAGCAGAACTCTTGACCTACCCAGGTAAAACCCGCTGACTTACTCCTAGTTTCTCTTAAGTAACCATAGTATTCTATCTATTTTCTTTCCCTGTCCACTCCCTCACCCCCACCCCATCCAAAATGCTGTGGAAGCTGCCAAATGCAGACAGCTCTGTCTGTATACAAAGAATGACCTAGTCAACCCGCTCATTTTCTCCTTGAAGAGATGGAAATCATTACAGAAAACCACAACCAATATGGAGTCCAGTCCCAACGGATCTACAAAACACTCCTGTACTAAGGCTCAGGGAACATAGCTGAGGAGGGAAGGGAAGACTGTAAGAGCCGGAGGACCAGGGAGTTGGCTATGATACTCTGTCTCCAGGTAGCGTCAGCTGCCCCAGGTTTCACCATCATGACGGTGTGAGCATGAGCTCAACAAGGAAGATGCCAAACATCAAAAGGGGAGAAGGTTCTGTGTCAGGAGCGGACACTCGGACGGGGAGAAGCGCCATCATCAGGCTCAGCTCCGATAGAGCTGGACAGAGCTTTGGGAATCAGCAGAGGGTTTAAAGGAACACTGATGTGGACACAAAGGGGCTAAGAGTTCATTCAGAAGCCACTGATGAATGCCCTTGACCCAGGAGCACCCAAATTCCATACTTCAATGTGAGAGTAGTTACTAAAATTTTTATAGTAATGGAACAAAGAAAATTATATATATACAGCTCCAGAGGCTACGTGCATCATTGGAATGTTGGAACCAGGATGAAGATGGTAAGACAGGAGAAAAAACACTTCAAATAGCCAGGCAGTGGTGGTGGGGCACGGCTTTAATTCCAGCGCTTGGGAGGCAGAGACAGGAGAATCTCTGTGAGTTTGAGGCCAGCCTGGTCTACAAGAGTTAGTTCCAGGATAGGCTCCAAAGCTACAGAGAAACCCTGTCTTGAAAAGCAAAAAGAAATATTTTAAATAATGGCCAAGAATAACAAAAATTAATGTCAGACAACATATCAGAAGTCCACAAAGCATAACAACACCCAGCAGAATAAATTTTCTTAATTAATTAATTTATTTATTAAAAATTTCCACCTCCTCCCTGCCTTCCTTTTCCCTCCCCCTCCCCACCTTCTCCTCCCTCTTTAGTCCTAAGAGCAGTCAGGGTTCCCTGCCCTGTGGGAAGTCCAAGGTCCTCCCCACTCCATCCAGGTCTATAAAGGTGAGCATCCAAACAAACCAGGCTCCCACAAAGTCAGTCCATGCAGTAGAATAAAAACCCAGTGCCATTGTCCTTGGCTTCTCAGTCAGCCTTCATTGCCAGCCACGTTCAGAGTGTCCATTTTGATCACATGCTCCATGTAACACGAGGGCCGGCTTGTTGAGGTATCTGTCCCGCCCAGTACCCCACAACCGGCAAGCCACAAAGAAAAATCACGCACAAGACTCCATAAGATTATAAACTGATTGGCCCATTAGGTCAGGCTTCTTGTTAACTCTTATAACTTATGTTACCCCATTATCCTTATCTACATTAGCCACATGGCTCCGTACCTTTTTCAGCTGGGCAAGTTACATGTTGCCTCTTCGGTGGTCTGCGCAGGAGTGACAGAGGGAGCTTCCTAGAATACTCCCAGTCTCTTTGCTCCACCTCTACTTCCTGTCTGGCTTTCCTGCCTATACTGTCTGCCTGGCCAATCAGCGTTTTATTAAAATATGATTGACAGAATACAGATAATTCTCCCGCACCAGCTCCATCACTCCCAGTCCAGCTGGCCTTGGTGAGCTCCCATTAGATCAGTCCCACCGTCTCCGTGGGTGGACGCACCCTTCGTGATCCTGACTTCCTTGCTCATGTTCTCCCTCCTTCTGCTCCTCATTTGGACCTTGGGAGCTAAGTCCAGTGCTCCAATGCGTGTCTCTGTCACTATCTCTATCCATCGCCAGATGAAGGTTCTATGGTGATATGCAAGATATTCATCAGTGTGGCTATGGGACAAGGCCAGTTCAGGCACCCTCTCCTCTGCTGCCCAAAGAACAATCTGGGGACCTCTCCTTGGACCTGGGAACCCCTCTAGAGACAAGTCTCTTGCAAACCCTAAAATGGCCCCCTTAATTAAGATATTTACTTCCCTGCTCCTATATTCACCCTTCCGCCATCAGAATAAATTTTTTTAAAATCTAACAGTAGAGTTGTCAGGGAAGAGAATATCCAATTAGCCAGCGCAGAGTTGAATTTAGGTCCTTGCACATGCTAAGCCTCTCCCTTGAGTTCCTCCTGAAATTAATTTTTAATTATGTAGTGTTGTGCCCAGATACAACCCCTAGAGAGAGACTATCAGAACCCAGTAGTTGTGCCCAGACTGTAATAAGCAAGGTTTAATCAGTATAATACAAACATGTTTGGAACTCATCTCCATCCCCGTTACAACAAGGTAGAGAGGAGTTGTATCTCCTCTGTGGGGTAAGCTTTTAAAGGCATAACTACAAAGAGAATCTTTGAAGACGCTTTGGCATGGGTGCAAGGACTTTTGCTTCCTCCCATCCTGCTAAGTCAGCTTTTTCCTTGTTCTTAGAGCAAGGCCACTGTTCCTGAGTTAGGCCATCTTTATCAGCCTGTATCAGGTGGCTGACTGGGCTGAGCTAAGTGACCTTGTGATCGAAATCTCCCAGGTGGGAGAGGGGAAGGCCACTATCTTCCTGGGAAAACATTCTGCTAGGAAATTTCTTCTCCCCTTTGAGAATAAGGGGTGAGGGTTCCATATGTAGTATGTCAGTAAACTAAAAAGAGAAGCTATTAGGATAATACAATTTTTGCTTTAAAATTAAGATTTCTTTACATTGAATTATTTTATAACTTAGATAAAATTTAAATCGCCCTGTAATAAAGTAACTTTTTCAAATAATACATGTGTTGTTGGGACCTAATGGAGTCCTGGCCTTCCTACTCACCTCCTCTGATGGTGACCTTTCTTGCCCTTGTTCTGGGTTTCTGAGAAACTTGCAAGTTCCCTGCTCTCAGAGTTGTTTACCAACCCTGCTTCCTGAGCAAGCATTGTCTTGGCCCTAACTGGAGGATCTGGTGATAAGGTCTCCATTCTGCTGACCCACTTGTCTGGGTTAGGTAATGTCCTAGGTGATGTACAATAAAGGCTTCTGATTCTGCAACATCCAGACTGCATGTTCCATTAATCTTGACATCCTTCGCTCGGACTCGGAATCCAGGCTGTGCTGGCGTGGCAATGTGTAGTCATTTTTTATTTAAAAATAATTCTTTTAGGGGCTGGAGAGATGGCTCAGGGGTTAAGAGCACTGACTGCTGGCTGCTCTTCCAGAGGTCCTGAATTCAATTCCCTACAAGGTGGCTCACAACCATCTATAAGATCTGGTGCCTTCTTCTGGTGAGCAGGCATACATGCAGACAGACACTGTATACATAATAAATAAATCTTTTTAAAAATTTTATTTTATTATTGAGAAAGGGTCTTACTGTGTAGTTCCTGGTTCGTAACCCCTTATGTAGACCAGGCTGGTCTTGAGTCCAGAGGTCTGTCTGTGTCTGCCTCCCAAGCGCTAGCGTTAAAGTCATAAGCCACCACACTTGGCTCTTGTTTTTAATTATGTATATATGTGTGTTTGTGAGTTAGTACACCTGAATACAGTATCCAGGGAGGCCAGTAGAAACTGGCAAGTCCGCTGGAACCAGTTACGGATTGTGGGCTTTCTGGATACACGAGTGCAGGGAACAGACCTCAGGTCTCTGCAAGGGCAGCAAGCACTTTCAGTTGCGGAGCCATTGTCCTTCCAGGCCATGCCATAATTTTGTTTGCCACTGATATTTGCTGCTGCTCCGACTGAAAGTCAAGGTTGTCCTTACACATGCTAATGTGGTCTGTCTGGGAACTCTTACACCACACTTCTTAGAGAAAGCTAATTTGTATTCCAAAAATGACTAGTATGTTAAATTGCAGACAAAAGCAAGAATAAAATAACTGGCAGAACTGTGAGATACTAGGTAGGAACTAAAACTAAAAATTATCCAAATATTCTATTACTTAATCTCCGCAACACCGTAGAAGAATATTGCTACATGACACAGGGGAGGGGCAGACAGAGTCGACTTGAGGCTTGATAGATGAATAAAGCCTGGAAATACACCCTCCCATATGTGACCAGGTCGGTGGACAAAGGGTCATTTTCGGGATACCTCCTTGGAGCTTTCTAGGCTTTCAACAAGGGGTTTTGTAAACACTGCTTCCATGCAGTCAAAGAGATGGGTTTTAGTCCACACTTTGCACCATTTATGAAAATTATCTCAATGAGGATTGTGAGGTTAATGTAAAATCTAAAATTATGGAATATACAGAAGAAAACTAAGATAATAATCTTGATTTGGATTTAAGACTTTTCATTCTTTTCTTCTTGTATTTATTTCTTTTATAGTCTTATTTGATTTTATTTTTCAGTTTTTGAAACAGAGTCTATGTAAACCTGGCTGCCCTGAGACTCATTATATAGACCAGGCTGGTCTTGAACTCAAGGAGTGTGCCACCACACACAGTTAAACTGATATTTTGAGGTAGTCTTGCCCTACCTATTGTTTGGGCCGACATTAACACTCATGTTAGATAACTTGGGAGACAGAGACAGGTGGATCTTTGTGAGTTCGAGGCCAGTCTTGTCTACAAAGTGAGTTCCAGGACAAGACAACTGTTACACAAAAAACCATCTTGAAAAACCATAAAACAAACAAATAAATAAGAAAAAATAACACGTTAGTATTTGTTTGATGTATATTTCAGAGTAGCTTAATTTAGGTGAGAAGACTTCTGCCTCAAGATCCCTCTGGACAAGGTTAGAGCTGAGTGCTTTCTCTAGTCTATGTAAACAAGACTTCCTTGAGGCTTAAAGAATTTCTTTGGTGTCTAGGGTCATTTTCTGGACCTCTTTGGACTTATGAAGCCAATTTAAGGTTTAGAGGTTTGGACTAACTCCTTTGGCACGGACTTATTTTATGAGAAAAGTAAACGAGAAAGGAGCAATACAGGCGGAGCAGTGCAGGTCAGGATGAGGAGCCTGCACCTGGCTTCTGGGATGCCATGCACGTGATATGGCCCACAAGACCCTCACTAGGCTTTTTCCAGAGGCAAAAGCCTCAGAGTAGAAATGTTTTCCAGGCTCAGGCTCCTCTCCAGCCATCTCCTGGAAGTTTATGTTTCTGCCAGTGTTCAATCATGGTCTTTTCTGTCACACCCGTGGGGGTCTGGAGAGATGGCTCAGTAGTAGGGTATGCTTTCCTCTTCCAGAGGACCCAAGTTCCATCCTCAGCAGCCATGGAAGGCAGCACTCACCTGCCTGGAACGTCAGCTCCAGAGGATCTGATGACTCTGGCCTCTTCACTCACACAAACACATACATATACATGATTAAAAATAAAATCTTTTTCTTATTTTTTTTAAAGATTTATTTATTTATTATGTATACAGTGTTCTTTCTGCATGTCTGCCACCAGACCAGAGGGCACCAGATCTCATTATAGATGGTTGTGAGTCACCATGTGGTTGCTGGGAATTGAACTCAGGACCTCTGGAAGAGCAGGCAGTACTCTTAACCACTGAGCCATCTCTCCAGCCCCTTATTTTTTTTTGAGACAGGGTTTCTCTGTGTAATGGCCGATTGTCCTGGACCTCGCTCTGTATACCAGGCTGGCCTTGAACTTGAAAGATTCGCCTGCCTCTACCTTCTGAGTGCTGGTACTAAAGACTAAAGGTGTGTGCCACCACGACCTGGCTCTAAAAATATAATCTTAAAAACAGGGAAACCAAACCAAACCTCAGAGTTCAGGGATGGTGTGTAGATAGATAGATCCTTCTGTGCACAGGTGCACCTTCCAGTCTCCCTTGGTCCTAGGGCTCCCTCAGGGACAGGGAGTTATCTCAACACACTTGTCTGGTAGAAGTGTGATGGGAGCCAATGTAACTGAAAATTTCCCAGCATTCACATTTTCATTACAATAAGCGGGGCAGTGGTGGCTCATGAACACTTTGGAGGCAGAGGCAGATGGACCTCTGAGTTTGATGGATCTCAGCCTCATCTCACAGAGTGAGTTCCAGGATCGCCAGGGCTACAAAGAAACCCTGTCTCATAAAAACAAAAATATAATGGAAGCTTCACGTGGCGGCTCATGCCTGTAACAGCAGCAGTTGGAAGGCTAAGGAAGGATGAGACCCACCACCATGGTTTTGAGGCTAGTCTGGGCTACATGGTTAATTTTGGGATAACCTGCGCAACAGCTTAAGAAGAATCGATCTCAAACTAAAACAAACAGTTGAAGTAGTGAGCTTTATTTAAAACAATATATCCAAAATATCATCATTGTAATACAGTTGTTAGTGCAATTATTTTATATTGCTTTTATGGAAATCCACTTACAGTACATTTGAGAGTACTCCAAACTCACTCCTGGCCCTTGGCTGCAGTTAGCTGTCCCCAACAGGGATTTCTCCCCTTACATCTATAACTTTTTTAATTGGAACTTGAACCTGAGCGTAAGTAAGCACTGTGAGGTGAGAGGAAGAGGTAGTATATATAAGCCTGTAAACATAGTAGCTTGGGATGCCGAGGCAAGCTTAAGGTCAGCCTGGACTTAATTGCAAGTTCGAGGCTAGCCTGGGCAACCTGGTAAGACCCTGTGTCAAAAGAAACAATTAACAAAAAACAAACAAAAATCCGGGGTTGTCAAGCTAGGATGCCAGCCTGACATAAGAAGCCCTGAGTTCAATCCTGAGCTCTACAACAGAAAGGGAGGTGCTGCGGAACAGGCCTTTACGCTGTGTGTACATATGTCACCATGGCTGATTTAATAAAGAGCTGACTGGCCAATAGCTAGGCAGGTCTGCTGGGGACAGAGAGGGCTCGTGAGGAAGAAGGCAGAGCAGCCGCCAGATGGAGAGGAAGCAGGATGGGAAGTACAGAGTAAAGGTAACCGAGCCGCGTAAAAAAGTGATTAAGTGATAAGAACTAGTTAGGAATAAGCTTAAGCTAAGGCCGAGCTTTCATAAAAAGTCTCCGTGTCATTTTTTTGTGAACTGATGGCTCAGAGAAAAAGCTGTTGACTGAGAAGAACTGCAGGAGGCCAGAACACACCACTGTGACGTGGCTACCTCCATTTCTGCCTCCTCTGATATCGTAACTGGCACTGGGAGACCGTTATCTTCTCCCTTCCCAGCACATTTTCTGATTTTGATCATGACTCTTCAAATCTTAAGATGAAGGCTATTTATTGTGAAAACAAAAGCTACAATCTCTTCTTGACGCCATCAAGACTAAAGTGGTCAAAGGATTTATTATTTTTTTTAATCAATGGCTAATTTGGGGTTCTTTTTTGTTGTTATTTACGAATGGAGAGTTTGGTTTAAGCACTCAAATCCTATATATACATTTATAATTGCCTTGTCCGTTACTACATTTTGTATAACTTGACAGATACTACAAGAATGCAAAATTAGAGACAATTTTGTTTATAAATTGTTTAGTATATAAACTCCTATCTAATTTATACAGAATGTTTTACATTTGACCACAGACATCAGTTTAAAAGAAAGTCATCAAATACTATGCTTGGTCAGGTGTTGTGAGATAGACTTTTAATCTGTGTTTAGGAGCTGAAGCAGAAGGACTAAGTGTCTGTGGCTAGTCCGGGCTATTTATGGATATCATGTCTCGAAGAACACCAGAGCAAAACCATATGTAGGTATCAGGACTTGGGAGGTAGACACAGGACAATCAGCTCAGGGTCATTCTCAATTACACAGAGTTCCAGGACAGCCCGGGCTATATATAGCCTGCTTCAAAACTAACAAAAGACAACACTCGCTAGGCGGGCCTTGGTGGCGCACACCTTTAATTCAGGATCTGTCAAGAGTATTCACAGGAGCAGTGGGAGGCTACCCTCCAAGAACAGAGAGCAGAGGCTCCGAGAGAAAACTCGTGTGTCCCAAGGAGTCTGCTCAGGTGTGGGCAGGCGCACCAGGCCCCTCAAGAGCTTGGGCGACGCAAGGTCATTGGGACCACACAGCTGCAGGGATTGAAATAGGGGCAGAGGGCAGTGGGGAAGTAATACTTAGAGAAGGTGTAGATGGGCAAGCCGTGGTTTGTGACGTTATAGAAGGACACGGTGCCAGCCTCGTAGTCTAGGAAAACGCCGACGCGGCGAGGCGGCACCGCCATGGACAGCAGCAGGGAGGTGGCGGAGTCCTCATAGGCTCTGTACTCGTGCTTGTGCTGCAGCCCGATCACCCAGTACCCGCTCCGGGGCTGATACCTGGAGGAGGCGCTCTGCTTGCTGGGATACTGGCTGAAGGAGAACATGGGTTCCAGGGGGTTACTGCAAACACCCAGGATCCAAGCCGTCTTCTTGGTCACGTCCACTTCCCAGTAGTATTTTCCTGAGGAGAATTGCTGAGAGCCCAGGACACTGCAGTTGTAATGCTCTTCCAGACAGGAGGACTCGGACAGCTGGACACCTACAAACCTCATCTGCCTCCGGTTCTTAGACAGAACAAGATTTAAATTGGCCGTCTGTGGATTCAGGGTCACGTCCACTGTAGGAGAGGGTACAATAGCATCAGATGAGAGTGGGCACATGGGTCCTGTGACGCTCAGAGGAGAGGGGCACACAGGTCATGTGACTCTCAGAGGAGAGGAAGCAGAGTAGTGGGCACCCAGGTCACGTGATGTTGAGTGGAGAGGACAAAGGAAATGGTGTGTGTGTGGGGGAATGGACGGACGATGACCCAGAATTAGGTGGTAGAGGAGAGGTATGGAAACCTAAGACCCGAGGGAACATGTGTGTCTGTTGGGGAGAAGCATGTGGGAGGCTGACAAGCAGCAGTTCAGAGAGGCCGTGGATTCTACTCACCCCAGTAGCTCTGGACATCTGTCAACTCTGTAACAAGACCAACAAAACATGTTAAAGAGAACAGACGGTCTCAGGTCTGACATCTGAGGAGATCTGAGAACGATGGGGACTCAGAGAAAGCATGCACTGGTCACTCCGTGTCGCCTTCAACATCCGTGTCCCTCTGTGACTTCTCTCATTGAAAATTCTCCAGTACGCCATCCGCCCTGTTTCTCCCCACTACAGGAACCCCTCATCCAGACTCTCCCCAAACTCACCTCGAAAGACTCGCAGCATCTTTTCCAGGTCCGGGGCTCGAAACAAACTTCTGAGCTTGGTGGGGAGAGTTTGGGGCTTCCTCAGGGTCCAGAACTCACTCCTAGTGAGGGCACACCTTATGAGAGCTTCAGGGTGCTGTCTCCCCACCCCTCAGACCCACTGAAGAACTAAAACTCCTCAACATTCTTTCCTGAGGAAAGTCAGCACGCTGCAGAGGGCCCTGCACTGGACCAAAAGTCCTGGGCTAAAAGCCAGCTGCTCACTATCTGCATTCACTTCAGTAAAAGCAAACTTATTAAAGCCTCATTTTGTTGCTTCTCTATTGTAAATTCTATAAGGTACAAAGAGTTTCCCTTTCCTCTGTGCCCTAGGGACAGCGCCCAACTGAGGAGAACTGAAAGAACCCCAGAGGCTGTGGAGTCCTTTGCTACAGTATCTAAATAGGAAACAAAGTGTTTAAAAATGTCAGTGCCGTATCAGAAAGTCCACTAGGGGGTGCCAGAGACGCCCACACCGATCAGGAAGGAACCCTGCTGCTGAGGCGAAAGGACCACCTGAAAGGAAGGGCTTGTGTGGTGTGGGCTTAAAATTCAGGGCCAGAAACCCAGGCTCACTGTCTAAGAGGCCTGAAGGTACTGGGTCCGTGGGCAACTTTAGATGTCACCTCAGTGGATGACTTTATAGATTCAATGCTACTAAAAAGAAGTTGTTCTGTTCCAGGGCCAAAACCATTCCCCTCATGTCAGGTCTGGGTTTTTACTGGAATTGACATAAAAGGAAATGTAAGCCCTAAGTCGCAAGACCTGGACTGGAAAGGCAGGATAAGCGGAGAGTCACCGCTGGCACCGGAAAGCCCATCTCAAGCCTCGGGCAGCACATGGATGGTGATTTCCCTCAATCAACAGCCAAGAATGATGTGGATCGAGGCGGCTATGACTAGGAAAGTCAGCATCAAAGGCAGGTGGAGAGGTTGGTGAAAAGGGAATCTAGTGACACTCCTGCCTCCAGCGAGTGTCCCCTTCCCATACTGATTCACCACCATGGATGCCAGCCTACTCCCTCATCTTTGAGATCCCTAAATTCACATGCAATGCAATATACCAGTCTCAAACCTACCCTGTCTATAACTTTCCCCTTCCCACAGGGCCAAGGGAATTAACTCACATACCTTTTTGTGACATCACTCACATCCTAGGGAGAAAAAAGACAAACGGAGTGAAGGATTATATCTTCTTCCCATTTTACCACCAGTCTAATGACAAAGACACCCTCCCCCCCAAAAAAATCAGTCCAGTTGCTACAAAGTATAAATGAGAACTTGGAGGAAGTAAGATATGTCTGTGATCCCAGATCTTAGGAGGTTGACGCACAAGTACGTGTTTGAGGCCAACCTAGTTCACATAGCAAAGAATTCTCAAAACAACTGAACAAGCACAGCTGGGCGGTGGTGGCACAGGCCTTTAATCCCAGCACTCGGGAGGCAGAAGCAGGCAGATCTCCGTGAGTCTGAGGCCAGTGGTCTACAGAGTGAGTTCCGGAAGCCAGGGCTGTTACACAGAGAAACCCTGTCTTGAAAAACCAAACAGACAAAAATAAAAACAACCCCACCCAATCAGAGCAGAGTTCCTGAGGACCCACGCACAAATTTTAAGTTCCTTTATTTTTTGTAAGTTTTGTTTTTGGCAATGCTCAGGATGGAAACCAGGACTTCATGTATGTTAGACAAATGCCCCAGCACTGAGCCATCCCCTCATTCCTGTTTGGAAAGCCATGCCTGTGTAGCGCCTGTTACTTGCCACACAGCACCTGACTTTGCAGAGTGATGATAGACTAACATCTCCCCTTGAGACAGTCACAGGTTTTACTTTTTGGTTTGTTTGTTGTTTTTCGAGACAGAGTTTCTCTGTGTAACAGTCTTGGCTGTCCTAGAACTGTCTGTAGATCAGGCTGGCCTTGAATTCAGAGATCCACCTGCCTTTGCCTCCCCACTGCTGGGTCTAACGGGCTGCGCCATTGCTACCGGGCAGAGACATCCATAGGTTTAAAATGTGGTTTGCTCTCAAAACTTCATCCCTTAGATGAGATACATGGATGCACACACGCACACATGCATGCATGCACACACAGGGGCCCGGCCCCAAATACCTGCTAAGTATCTGCTACCATAGTGGAATTCTACTAAAGGGGTTAAGAGCAGAGAAAGCTGGTGGCACAGCCCTCTCTGATGGGAACCACAGATGTCCTAAGGCCAGCAGAGCTGCTTGACGGCCACCGTGTCACCTTTGATTTTCGTCTCCACCTGTTGCATACATGGGAGACTTTTAATTTGTACAATTTGGGAATATTGGTTTGATGGAAAATTTATTATGAATCATTTATGCCGTCTCCAGGAACACTGCTTCTAATGTTTCCCAGCAAAGTCCTGAACATGCTACCCCTCCCAGTTAGGGAGACATCCTTATCTACTTCAAGGTCTTCAATACACTTGGAGGTTGTGACACACGGAAAGACACCACACGTCTCTTTATGAGGCTATGAGAAATTTTTGAAATTTCTGTCCCTGTACTTACTCAGGAACAAGACAGTCAAAACAAAGTACACTTAAAAAAGTCAACAAGGTCTAGTGGGGGCTGGAGGAGTTGGCCACGGTTCGGACTGCAAGTCTCTTCCCACTACACACCCAGCCAATTACATGGCATGTACAGCAACACGGTTAGATTAGCTGAGGTCACCACGCCAGAATTTGAATAACTGCAGCAGTTTGGGTCTGAGGATTTCCCTTGGACATGTTGACTGAATAATGCGCTGTTTCAGACATGGAACTCACTATGCCCAGACTGGCTTGAAGATTTTACTTTGGTCTAGCATCCCTGAAACAACCAAAGGCTACCAGTCTGAGAACAGGTGGTCATATGCCCCTGATTCTTAAAAATTGGGTTAATGGGCTAATTAATAAAAACGATAACTCCGCTCATCAATGGTGTCAAAACTTGAGGGAAAATAATTGGAAATGATAACTCTGTTCTGTCATAGTTTATTAATGACTGAAAGATGAGCAAGGAAAAAAAAACCACATGTCTGAAACTAAAAATATGATCTATGTTTTGGAACAACATGAATCCACCCCTGCTTACTGAATTCTATATAATAAAAAAGTGCTCTGGCTGCTGGCCAATCAGGGTTGCAGGATTCTTCTGGCCATCATGCCGGCTCCCCATGCCCCTCCCCTTCCATGTTTTGCTAGGTAGGAACTGTCTTCCAGGCAGGCTGGTTTAGTGCCAATGCTAACTTGATTTCTGCATGTGTTTTCTCATGAAAGGACTGAACAAAAGCACCTTACCAATTGCCATTACAGCAACAGAGACATGAGCTGTCTGGTGAACAGGGTTTTTAGCTGGGGTTAGACATTTCTTCCCTGGGGATACAGGGCAAAGTTAAAGGGCTTTGGAATGCCTTATTTGAGGCGGGACTGTTGAGTTCTGGTGGGAAGGGGCTAGGGGAACTGAGAAATTCCCTACAACACACAGAAGTGTCTCTCACAGTGGACGTCTATCTGTATTAGAATGTCAGTTGTCCTGAGCCTGGTTAGGGGCCTGGAGAGCACTGCTGGAGACAACAGGTCTTCACAATTCCAGAGAAACTTCTGGGCTACCCTTGACCTGGAATCAACAACAATGGGGCTTCCCTTAGCATTTGCATCTGACCTGTTTTAGACTTTAGCCCTTGGCCCTCCTCCTAGTTCAATAAAAAAGGTTAGCAGAAACATAAAGGAATCTGTTTCTTCTCCTTTCCCTCACGATGGTCCTGGTGCCACACGAGGTGGATGGTGACACAGTCCGTGAGTCTCACCTGCAGCAGCTCCACTGTGGACCCCTGGCAGCGGTGCTCCAGGTCGGAGATGAGATCCTTTAGTGACTGGCTCTGGTGGATCAAGTCCCCCTCGGCCTTCTCTATGATGCTCAGCCCCTTCCTCTCTTCTACTTCCAGTTTCTTCAGCTCCCTCTGCTCCTCTCGGTCCAGGATGCTCCGCAGCTGCTTAAATTCGGTCTGGATCCGGTGTCTCTCAGGCTCCACCTGACTCTTCAGCACCAGAGAAGAAAAACAGGCTGCTGACTGCAGGCCCAAGGGTTCTCCCTGGGGGAGGAGGGGCAGGACAGGCTGCACACTGCTTTCGGGGGGGCCCTTCAGGTCTGAGAGTGGAGGAACATGGGCCTGCAGCACCTGTTCTCAGCCCTGGGCCTCAGGCTGCTCTGTCTAGGTCTGGAGATGCAGTCTGTGATTCTTAGGTAGTTTAGACTCCAGGAAGCCTAGGTGGACTCTTTCTAGGTCAGCCTCTGCTTCCAATTTTGAGCCCCAAGAGGAATTACCGGCTCACATTAACCTACCTTTTCCCGGCAGTCACACCGGAAAGAAGATTCAGAATTATTATTATTAATTAATTTATTTATTTTGAGGCAGGGTCTCTCTCACTATGCTGCTCTGGATGGCCTGAGACTAGCTCTGTAGACCAGGCTGGCCTTGAACTCATACCCACCTGCCTGTCCTTGCCTTCTGCCTGGGAAGCCATTCTTTCTCATATAATTGCCTTAAAAACCTGTGAGGGGCTAGAGAGATAGCTCAGATGTTAAGAGCACTTCTTGTTCTTCCATAAGGCCTGGGTTTGATTCCCAGTACCTAATGGTGGCTTATAGTTCCCTCTTCTGGCCTCTTCAGGCACTAGACACACATGTGGTATACAGTAATATATGCAGGTGAAACATCCAAACACATGAAAAAAATTATAAAATAAATTGAAATTAATAAACAAACCAAAAGAAAAGTGGATGGACTTTTGACATGTTACCTAACTTCCACTCCAATCCCCTGAAGAAGGAAAATGGTCAGCCCCAGGGAATTTTTTTTTTTTTGGTTTTTCAAGACAGGGTTTCTCAGTGTAGCCTTGGCTGCACTCACACTGTAGACCAAACTTGCCTCAAACTCAAGATCTGCCTGCCTCTGCCTCCCAAGTGCTGAGACTAAAGGCGTGCACCGCCACCACCAGCCATAGACCAGGGGAAGTTCTTTTTTTTTTTTTTTTTTGGTTTTTCAAGACAGGGTTTCTCTGTAGCTTTGGAGTCTGTCCTAGCACTAGCTCTTGTAGCCCAGGCTGGCCTTGAACTCACAGAGATCTTCCTGCCTCTGCCTGCTAGGATTAAAGGCATGCGCCACCATAGCCTGGCATCCAGGGGAAGTTCTGTGCAGAAGGGGAAGACACTGGGGCAGGAGGCCCTGGTCCTCGGCTCCCATGGTCACCTTTGTGGTCCCAGATCACTTCCAGGACAATCCTACTTGCCTTCCAGGATTCCCTCTTCTCTTTGATAAGAGCTTTTAGCCTCTCAGCTTCCTGCTGCTCCTTCTTCAGCTTCTTCAGAGACTCCTGGAACAGCTCCTGGAAGGAGTATGGCGGGCGAAAGAGGGCTCAGGGGAAGCCTGCCTTGGCTTCAAACAATCTTCTCCACACAGGGAATGCAAGCAAGAAGACAAGATAGGGAGACAGCTCCTAGTCCAACTTCTAAGTCATCAAAAGTCATACAAGGAAATTTGGGCTTCAGGTATAGTTCAGTTGGGAGTGTTTAACTAGCATGCAAGAAACCCTGGACATTTGTAATCACAGAAATGACTGGCACTAGGACTAGAAGTTCAAAGCCACCTTTAGCTCTGCAATCAGTTTGAGGCTGTACCGAACTACCTGGGACCTCGTCTCAGAAAAGGAGAAAACAAAACAAACAAAACCTACACAACAATTAGAGGAGAGCGTGATTTAAGGACAAGCCCCAGACCTGCTCCCACCTGGTACTCCTGGGCCACCTCCTCCATGAGGAATGTGTGGTGACCACGGTGCTCCTGAGATCGCTCACAGAGCCAGCAAATCAACTTCCCATCCTCCTTGCAAAAAAGCTGGAGTTTCTCTCCGTGAAGAGCACAAAGAATGACCTCTGGCTGCTTTCCCGGGCCCAACACGACCTCTTTGAGCCTCTTCACTATGGTGGCCAGGTGTCGATTAGGCCGGAGGTTCCCAGGCTGGTAGGTGGTCTGGCACACAGGACAGTTGCTCTTCCCTTCTTGGTTGAGCCCTGACTTGTCACTGTACCCTGTGATGCAGGACTGGCAGAAGCTGTGACCACAGTCTATGCTCAGGGGTTCTGTCAGGAGCTCCAAGCAGATAGGGCAGGTGACTTCATCTCGGATGTCGTCCAGAACTGCTGAAGTCATGGTTGCCACCCTCTTGGCTCCTACCTGCCCAGCTCTGACTGGTAGACCGTTCTTGCTTGTAGAACCCAGGTAGAGAGCAAATGAAAAAAAAGCACAGGCTAAGGAAGGGGAGAGGAAGGAACGGTGCTGTTAAAGCTGAGAAGCGAGACGCGAGGGGAAACAAAGGCCTCTCCCTCCAATTCCAACGCTTTATCTGAACTCACATCCAACACCAACTCTTACTACAAAGCTTACTGTTTCCTTCACCTCCTATTGGTCAGAAAGATAAACGGGACACTGGAGAGGTCTTATACAGAGTCCAGCCCACCCAAGCGTGTTTTCAGTGTTACACATAGTAGACACACGACTGTGCCAGGACTTTTGGATTTGCTGTTCCCGTTGCAAGGGGAGCCTTTATTCTGGTGTCTGCACCAATGCCTTCGTCCCTGTTGTCTTATCAGATGGCAACGGTTCTGGCAAGCTCTCACCGGCTTGCTCTTCTCATCATCACATGGTTAACTCTGATGGTCTGAGAGACCAGAGCCTTTTGTTTTCTGTTCACGGCTGTACCCACGGAAGCTGGCAGAGGACCCTCCTTTAGTGGATGACCCTTTCTCATGCACCTTTTCACCGCTGGCTATCTCTCCAGGATCACAGCTATCTAAGCTTGTGGACGCATCCACTCTCCTCTGCTCAGTTTCTTCCCCCAGAAACCCAGAGACAGGAATAGCCACGACAGGCAGAGGAGACAGGTTTTATAACTAACTCGCTCCCCTCCCCCTTTACTGTGTTTTGCCTGAATGTAGGTCTGTGCACCGTGTGCACGCCTGGTGCCCAGAGGTTAGAAGAGGGCATTAGATCCACTGGAACTGGAGTGAGAGACAGTTGTGAGCTGTCATGTGAACGCTGAAAATCAAATCGTAGTCCCGTCTGAGAAATGTTACTTTTATTTCAGGCAAAACCATTCTTGCAATCCACTATTCTCTTGAGAAAGTCTCTACCCATGAGAGAATTTGTGGAAAGACTAAGTGGCAAAGGAACAAGGTGTAGTCTACTCATATGGTGTCATATTACTGTCAAAAGATAAAAACTACAGAGCTGGAGAGAGGCTCGGTGGTTAGTGCACCGGCTGCTCCTCCAAAGGATCTGACACTCTCCTCTGGCTTCAGGGCACCAGGAACAGTTGTGGTGCACAGACAGACATACAGAAAAATACTTATACACATAAAACTAAATAATTAAAAAAGACAAAATTAGTTATGTATATCCTCCCTGGCACTGGGGCTGCATCCAGGGCCTACTGCGGGCTCTATCACTCAACCACACCAATACCTATTCCTGTAAGTCCGAAATGAGTTTATGCGCAGTCCTACAATCCAACACTAATCTGGGTCAAAAATGGCTCACAATACTCTGCCTTACCACCGAGGCCAGCTGTTTACATCCAGAAAAGAAAGCAACATACGAAGACTGAAGTGAGAGACAGTCAGATTGGTTCTGACATTTGGGACTGCTTACACAGCTGCGTCTGATTGGCAGAGACTTGACTACCTGCCGCAAGAATTAACTACGATCTGTTTACTCATTATGTTAGGGTACAGTTCACTATGCAACATGAAACCCTGAAGCCGAACTTAAAACGCAGGCTGGCAGCTTTAGGCCAAACTCAAAAGTGACAGTTACATAAAACTGCTGATAAACGGAAGAGCATTTGAAAACACATCAGCAAAGCCAGACCCAAGGGTTCCAGTGGGGATGAACTGCAAACCAGAACAAAGCAGCCAGGAGTGTAAAGGAAACACTGAGGAGCGTGAGGACTTTCTGGCTGGTACACAGCTACGGATGCCCAGCGGAGCTGTGCCAGGTGTGGTGGCTTGTGTGGGAAACTCACTTGTGTGGAAGGCTGAGGCAGGAGACCTGCTAGGAGTTAGAAGCTAACTTGGGCAAAATAAGGAGTATTACATCAGTTGCACAGCATGACCCTTCTCAAACAAACAAAGGAAACCAATAAACAAACTAAAGAACCATCTGGCCTTGGTGACCCACACCTTTAATCTGTGAGTTCCAGGACAGTTGGTCTACATAGAGTTTTGGGATAGGCTAGGGCTACATGATGGGACCCTATCACAGCAAACTAATAAAAACTCAAAAAAAAAATTTTTATGCTTGCGATTTCTACCTTCATACATATGAATTATATACCTCAACAACAATGACAAAAATAATAATAATAATAATTGAAAATAAAGTGGTGGAGGTGGTTTTGGTACCTGATCTTCTAAGCATAACTAACCACTATTTATAGCTGAGACTTGACATGTTTCTTGTCAGAAATAAGTATTCAGGCAAGAAATATACACTGACTTTCAAAGTTTTGTAGAGAAAATACATACTTTGCAAATTTTAATTGATTGTATGTTTTAATATTTTTCACGTATTGGGTCCAATAAAATAAGTTAAAACTAAATCTACTCACTTTTCTTTTTTGTCTGTTTTTTCTAAGACAAAGTTCCACTATGGAACCCTGGCTACCCTAGAATTTTCCTTGATTCTCCTGCCTTGGCCTCCCATGTGCTGTGATTACAGATGTAGGTGAACATGTCCCAAACTTTTTTTACTATGTAATGGGGCTAAATAGAATACTTAAAAACGACACACTGGCCTCATATTCTATTTCATTAGAAATCTCTGTCATTTCCAATTCTAATGGGACACATTAGACAACCAAGATAAGATTCTCGAATGGAAACGATGGTACTGGAATTGATGCTTCTTGGTTCTGTGAGCACTATATAGATTGGGAGAGTCTGACTCTCTGGAGCAAGAAGACCAAATTAATAACATATGAAAGAGAAGAGAATAATCCAGGCCTAGGGAGACCAGTTAAACCAATTGCCAAGTGCTGGAGAGATGGTTTAGAGGGAAGAGCACTTGCCTTTCTTGCACAAGACCTGAGTTTGGTTCTCAGTATCCACATGACAGATCACAACTTGTTAACTCCAGCTCCAGTGAACTGGGTGCCCTCTTGTGGCCTCTGAGGACTCCTGCATGCACGTGGTACATGTATAGTCACTTATGATCACACATATACACATACATTATAAAAAAAAAAGATCAGAGGACCACACTAGAGGCGGAAGAAAGAGCACTGGCCCTCAATGGAACTCTCTGTGCAGGCCGTGAACACTGAAAAAGACCTGCAGGGATCTGGGCAGTGGTGGCACACACCTCAGTCTCAGCAGAGGCAGCCCTGTGAGTTCAAGACCAGCCTGGCCTACAGGGCAAGTTTCAGGACAGGTTTGAAAGCTACCCACAGAAACCCTGTCTCAAAAAAAAGATTTGCAGGGGAAATGAGGATGCTTCAGAAGCACTGACCTTTGCCACGTAGACAGAGTTCAGGGCAGGAAGGCGCGGGGGAGGGGGGGAGCGCCAACACACAGACTGATACTTAGATCAGAAGTGCTTGTTGGAGCAGAAGCTCTGCGGACACCAAAATGGCCTGCAGAACAAAACTCAGAGACACTGGGGTCAATGCTGGGGACTCAGACACTGAAGGGGAGAAACTTGTTAACTAGGCTGGCCTTGAAGTCAAAGATTCATCTGCATCTGCTTCCAGAGTGCTGGGACTAAAAGTCTGTGTCCCCATATCTAGCTAGCGTTATTTTTTTAACTTTATGCAGGCCTATTATCTGGAACTGATCTCACAGCACTCAATGGACATAAAATTGAAAATAATTAAACATTTCTGAATTGATCTTCAAAGAATATTTGCTTATGTATTTAAAAACTTGTTGAACATCAGAAATTCCTAAAATACTACCCTGTACAGGTTTTTCTCTTCTTAGTGCTAAAGAATCCATTACATTCTTAAAGGGCAAAACATAATTTCTGCATATGTATTAAATTTGTGGTATCTCACCAGTAATTCCTAATGTTAAAAATGTTAATTTTACCTTTAGACATAATAAGTAGGAGGTCACACCCTTATATATATATATATATATATATATATATAATTTATTTAACTTTATTTTATGTGAGTTGGTGTGAAGGTATCAGATCACCTGGAACTGGACTTACAGACAGTTGTGAACTGTCATGTGGGTGCTGGGAATTGAACCCTGGTCTTCTGGCAGAGCGGCCAGTGCTCTTAACCACTGAGCCATCTCTCCAGTCCCCACACCCTTTTAAAACATATACTGTAAGGCATATTTAACACCCTACTACCCACTTTCATATCTTCTGTTTGAGACTCATGTACCCCAGGCTGGTCAGCCACTAACTAGTAACTGGGGATAACCTTGATCTCGGGACACCCCTGCCTCCACACCCCGAGTGCTGCTGTGATAGGTGTGCACGTACATCCCACGGCATTATCCCTGCTCTTCTACCTTTCTGGGATGCTGGGGAGCCAGACCAGGGCTTTGCCCATGCTAGGCAAGCACCCTTCAATTAAGGCACACACCCCAACTTCTTGGCATATTATCTTCAAAATTGTTCTGACTGTGCACTTTTTAAAAGTTAGTCAATAGTAACGTCGTTTGAGAATTGACCACACTTATTTTGAACTCTATCCCAGTTAACTCTCACCAAAACTCTAGGATCCACACATTATATTGCTCTGCCCATGCTATATATTAAAAGTGATTACACTCAAAAAATAAGTAACAGGTTTAGGGTATAGTGTCCAGGTGTCAGGTCCTGCAGTATAGCTGTGACTATTCTCTTGGGCATGCTTTTCCCTCAGCCGACTGATGAAATAAATGTCCCTTTGCTGCACTGGTAGCTTAGCTCAGGCCTGTACTCATAGCTCTAAGGAGGGTGAAAACAGGAGCTCGGTTAGCTACAGGGCAGCTGGGTTACACCTCAAAAAAAAAAAAAAAATTCAGAGTCGATAGATTTTACATACATGCTGATAAAATACATCAATACAACACTCCAGATTTCAGCGAACTCATTCATAATAAAACGCATAAGATCACCTCACTGTCCCCGGCCGCCTCAGCCAGAAGTGACTCAGGAGAGTAATGGGGCGATAGGCATCCCCAGAGTAGGTCCACAGAAGAAGAGCACCCAGTGCCAAACTTCTGCAGAGCACATTCGGAAGCCTTTAATTAATTCCGAGGGCCAGAGGGTCTAGATTAGGTCTTTTACCAGCTCTGCCCAGCTTGCTTGGGCTTCCTCAGGAGAGGCTCCAGGGCTTCCAGGTCGGACTGGCTGCAGCCGGTGCGGACCGGGGCGGGGCGGGCCGAAAGGCTCACCTCCCAACTCTTCCTGGGAGAAGTGCGGCCTGCTGCGGGGGATGGGGCGGAGTGGGGGTGGGGGAATAAACCTACTTCCTGGGGCCGCCGGACTGGAGCCCTGGGGGGCGGGGGGAGGGGATGCTGACCTCTGAATCCACTCGGGACCCCAAACGGGAAACTTCCAGAGTAGCTTGCTTTTGCCTCCAGAATCCAGGTTCAATGCTTCCCATTACCCCCTTACACAGTCTAGTCCCATTGGCAAACGTGCCTCTTCGATGCTTCCCAAACTCAAAGCTGCAGTTCTCCACTCTTCCTCTACGCGTGAACCCCAACACAATCTGTAGAGTGGCGCAGACTCTCCACCATGTGGAGACTGGTCAGAAAAATGGGTTTGCTCACAAACCTGGAATCCGTGGCCTGATCAGTGCCGAGACTTGCACGCAGCCAGTAGACAGTTCCGTCCAGCACGAGAGCCCGACTCCAGCCAAAAGGGGCGGGGCTGGCGGCGGCGGCGGAGGGGCTGCCTCTGCACTGATTGGGCGGGTCAGAAAGCCAGGGAGCCTGGGGATCGGAATGCATCCCTAGACAAGCCTTGGGAACAGCAAGTGTTGATGCCTATGAGAACACTATCATTTGAGACTTAAGCCTTCGACCGTCATGGAAGTGTTTAGCACATCTGCTCTCACTGTCAATTGAAATGTCTAAAGAATAAAAGGTCTAGCCATAGCCGGGCGGTGGTGATGCACACTTTTAATCCTAGCACTCCAGAGGCAGAGACAGGTGGATCTCTGTGAGTTCAAGATCAGCCTGGTCTACAGAGCGAGTGCCAGGACAGGCTCCAAAGCTACTATCATTTGGTCACTGTATCAAATGTAGTCCTTGATCATTGTATCAAATGTAATTATTTGATGTATCATTAAAATCTAACAACTTCAAATTATCACATGTGTGTACATACAGAGACCTGTGTACATCTATTATTTAATGCAGGGAATCAAAAGACCATCTACTTTTTATTGAAGGTTTATTATACATTATGTATACAAAACTTATAGTATTTAGAAACTGGGCTATAGATAAAGATTTTACTAAAGGCAGGGCAACTCTGAAAAGCAAAAGAATGCTAAATTTCTGGACCTGGTAGATAGACAAGCTGAGTATCACCTGATCTTAGAGGGTGAGGGTAGGGGAAAGACTTGAGGAGGAACTGGGGATGTGGCTCAAGTGTGGAATGTTTACCTAGCAAGCAGGAGTCTATAGACTGGGCTTTCTGGCTCACACTTGTAATTCAGCAGTAGGGAGACTGAGGCAGGAGGATCACACTAAGTAAGGAGTTTATGGTCAAAGCACTTTTTTTTTTTTTGAGACATGGTTTCTTCTCTGTGTAGCCCTGGCTATTCTGAAATTCACTACCTAGACCAGGCTGGTCTTGAACTCAGAGATCCACCTGCCTCTGCCTGTAGAGCTCCTGAGTAGTACTGGGATTAAAGGTGTGTGCCACCACTTCCTGTGGGATTAAAGGTATGTGCCACCACTTCC